GTGTGTGTGTGTGTGTGTGTGTGTGTGTGTGTGTGTGTGTGTGTGTATGGTGTGTGTGTGTGTGTGTAGTGTGTGTGTGTGTGTGTGTGTGTGTGTGTGTGTGTGTGTGTGTGTGTGTGTGTGTGTGTGTGTGTGTGTGTGTGTGTGCACACGCGCGCGTGTATGATTGTGCGTGCGCGTGGGTGGACGTGTGTGTTGTGTTGTGTGGGAGTGTGCGAGTGTGCGTGCGTACGTGCGTGCACGTGTGCACGTTTGTCGTATACTTTAAACTCACACACAAGGTTTCATCGAACACTGAACGTGTTGACATTTTTAGCTTGGGCTTTTGTTAGCAACTATATAGCTAGGTCTCATTGAGCTAGAATTTTCACCAACTATAGGTCTCGAGCACTCACATGATTAACTGACATTTCCTAGTAGGCCCTACTTATCTAGCTTATCTACTATTTTTAACTGACTATTGCTACTTGGTTGCTTGCGGATGGCTAACGGAAATGCGACGTGGCATTACGAGTTTCACTAATACCAGAGGCGCGTTGTTACTTGCTGCGGTTGATCGGGTGGCCGCTGCTGCTGCGGCGATCCCAGGGGGGCTGCTGCTGCGGCCGGCATGCAGATTTGAGATGTTCGATACTATGAGACAGCGTGCCGAAACGAGGTGTTATCGCGAAGTACTGCGCGCAGTTCCCGCGCGCACCAGGCCGCGCACCCGCCGGACTCGCCGCGGTTGAACGTCCTACGGACTAGTAGTGAGCGCTGGCGCCTATGGATCCGTGCCGCCGAATGCATAGCCATGGCAACGAATCCATAGTCCAGTGCGAACAGTCGCAATTTTATGTTGGGGGGACACAGAGTGGCAGACATTTGAACGTGACGACAGTGTTTTCACTTGTTATAAAAACTGTAACCGAGTAATTCTGTTCGTAAACCGAGCCTGTGTCACTGCTGAAATACAGATAAGACTGTCTGAAAATTCTGACATTCGCGACCTTGCCGTAATGGAACGGCTGTCATAGAATCAGGAAAAACCTACCGGCCTCTTCGCGCCCCAACGCTGCGCAACGTTTTTGCAAGGTTCCAATGGCGAGGCTCGTACGGGAGTTGTAAAGCAGTGCGCGGCCTGCCCGCGCCTATAGCCCATATAGAACTGGCACTCTCTCCCACCTCTCGGCCTTAAGCTTAGTCACTCAATTGGCGATATCGAGGTGGGAGCGGTCCTTAGGTCTATATATAGCCTTCTGTACCTCGGCACCTCTCGAAAGAGTATAGGCGCTATATACTAGAAACATTAAGAATTTGGTAGTTAAATAGATTTCGTATTTAGTTAGCATTTATATTTTATTGAAACGCTTCAAGTGCCGGTGATCCTAGTTATATGGGCGTTATTCTAACCCTAGCAAAAGACCGTTTCTTGGACGGCTGAGTAAGTATTTAGTAGTACTATAACTATTAGTTAAATAGTAGTAGTAGTAACTAGTCGTAGTGTCTAGTAGTCTAGTGGTTTCAAAGGATAGAGAACATGGTCCCTATATTATATGGGGCCGGCGAACTGTTATGGACATGGGCAATAAAACCAATGTCATTTACATCAATATAAATATAATCATTATACTCAATTATAATAGGTTAGGGTTAGTGGTTAGGCGTTTCGTCATTATGAGTAAGTTCAATTACAGTTACTAGTACTACTACTAGTAACAGAGTTATAGTCATTATTACTTATTACTATTAGCTCCTGCGTCACTGGTTAAGTACTAGTACTTAGTACTTAGTAGTGCTCGGTAACTTAGGAAGTACTACTTACTACTAGTCATAGTAAACTAGTACTTAGTAGTTATTATCTGTAGACATGTACATTGTAGTAACTTAGAAGTATAGTATTCGTAGGTGTGGAATTGTAATACCACTGCACTTAGTCTTTAACTGGTTCTCTCTACTCTAATTTCGGGCCTTATAATCACCCTGTAAATGCCGGTCGAAAACGTCTCATGTGCAATCACACAATAGACGGCTAACGCTTAGGAGCCGCTGCTGTGCACAGCACTTTGAAACTTTCATAAAATATAATGCCTATAAGAAACACGAAATCTAATACTAGTAGTAGTATACAACACTACTGTCTGCGTGCACTAAACTAACCCATGAAATAAGAGAATTACACATATATGACTGTTGTAATACATGTCCGACAGTTCGACAGTTCAGACGTACAACTAGCGCTTGTGAGTGTTCTAGCGGATATGCGGGTCAAAGGTGTGCAAAGCTGGTACCAGTCTAATATCCTCTAGATTCGGCGTTCGTGCGCCGTCTGTCGCAAAACATACTGTATTTACCCTCATCCAACAACATACAAAACAAAGAAGAAACCGACAATTCGTTATTACGGCAAAGACAAAATAAAATAAAGCGGCGCCGAGATAACGAAACTTCGAATTGGAAGCATTTCTAGAATAGTCGAGGCTCCCTGGTTAGTCAAACCGATCGTTCGAATGGCAGAACTGCTCAATTCAGCGAAGTTGTGTGGCTTTGCGTCTATATATGTAAAGCGTGTAAGGTGAAGGAGGGGGCAGCAAAGAGCGTGTTAGAGGCGCCGCTAGCGCCCTGTCGGGCTGCGCTTCGCGCGGATATCCGGTCTGTCCTGAATGTCCAGGGGGCGTTGAACTGCTGACGTATTATTAGTGGTCTCGCGGAACTTGTAGCATTTTGTTTCAATTGATAACATACGCCCCAAGCAAGAACTCTTCTTTTTCTAAAGACCTTGAAATCGTAATCCTGATGGGACCGCACCCTTAGATATAACGCGCACGATAGGAGCTAACCCTGGGCCTTCCTGACGCCCCCAATAATAATTACATCATTATATATACATTAATATATATATATATATATTATATATATATTATATATATATCAGGAGCTTATAAATGGAAGCTCATAAATGAAAGCTTATAAATGGAAGCTTATAAATGCAATTTATAAGCTCCATATATATATATATATATATATATATATATATATGAGTATGGATATATATTATATAGAGTATATATCAAAATAGCCCTATGCCTTCCCTATGCCCCCCCCCAAATATCACAAGTCGCACAGCAATGTAGCATAGTATACCGCTGAAATGATTTCCATGTGTATATACATACATAGCATCCTGAATATACGTAGTAGAGGTTTTAATATCTCTTATTACCTAATATTACCTGAGGTAATTTTAGCTAATTATTATTATTATATTATATACAAGTTACTTGTTTATTATTATTACTTAATATTCCCTCTTATTAATTCTTGATTATTAGATTATATTAAGATCTATATTAGCTCTTAATATATTTTCATGATAGCATATACTGTATTATTATATACTATCTGCTATATGCGGCGTGTATAATATACATAATAAGAGTGTAACATAATAATACATTTACTGCATGAGGAACACGCAATATTCAACAACATTATATATATAGCACACCGTTAACATATTATAACAAACACAATGTGTAATAACCGCTATTATTATCAGAAAACAGCAGAACTATGGTGCAAACACAAATAACTAAATCCTGAGCACACGTAATAATTTAGAGACTAGGCGCCTGACACCCTAATCTAATTCACGCAGATAGATGTCTGATGCTGGTTGGGTGGAAGATAGCCAAAGCAAGCAGAGATGTTTTTCGCCGGCCTGGAAACATTTTGCCAATGCACAAACCGTGGAAGCAGCCGAATGCTATTATTGTATTCAGTTGCTGCCGTAATGTCTGCATAATGTCCGCCCCGGGGCTGACCCTGTCGTTGACATCGGAGCTTCATAATCTTCTTCTTCTTCTTCTTCTTCTTCTTCTTCTTCTCTTCTTCATATTCGAATAGTTATTATTTTTCTTGCTTTCTACTTCTTCTTCTTCTTCTTCTTCTTACTTCTTCCTCCGTGCTCTTTCTCTTCGGCTCACACCCGGTGTCTGCGCGATTCAGATATCAACAGTTTTAGCAGCGCACGAGAAACCCGTTTAAGGGTTATTACATCACACACACACACACACAGCACACACACACACACACACACTACGCACGCACGGGCACGCACGACGCACGCACGCTACGCACGCACGCACAGCAACGCCCACGAGCACTGCAGCACGCCACGCCACCATGCGCACACACACACACGACACGACGCACGCAACGCACGCACGCAACGCCATGCTACACAGCACCACCCACGCACGCGCTGCACGCACGAACGCACACACACGCACGCAAGCACGCAGTACAGGGCACACACACACACACGCATCGCAACGGCACGCACGTCACGCACATCACACGCACGCACACGCACGCCACACACACAGCACACACCACACAACACACATATTATATAGTATTATATAAATTATTATATTATAATAGAGAGAGAGAGAGATGAGAAGTAGAGAGAGACGAGAGAGAGAAGAGAGAGAGAGTAGAGAGAGAGATGAGAGAGAAGAGAGAGAGCAGAGAAAGATATTTATATATACATATATAATATTATATATTATTACACGCTATATATATATAATTAGAGGTGGCTGCTACATGTGCATCTACTTCGTGTCTCTCTTGCAGTGGGATCTGATGTGCTGTGGGCAGAGGCGTGGCTGCTCGCTACAGCACAGTATGTCTCTATTTCGGAGGATTTTAGGTCGGATGCGTTCATATCCGGTTTCCGTTCAGACAGGTATCATGCGTCATTATCTAAAAATAAAAATAATATAATTATAATAATATATTATTTATTATTATCTATTATTTATTTATTATAATATCAAATAATCACTTCATTGTCATATTGAAATTCATTACATTATTTATTATTATATTATATCTATATATATATAATTATATATTTATTATATACTATATATATAAATGTGTGTGTTGTGCGTCGTGTGCGTGTGCGTCGGCGCTGCGCCGCGCGGTTCGTGTTGTGTGTGTGTTGTGTGTGTGTGTGTGTGTGTGTGTGTGTGTGTGTGTTGTGTTGTGTGTGTGTGTGTGTGTGTGTGTGTGTGTGTGTGTGTGTGGTGTGTGTGTGTGTGTGTATGTGTGCGTGTGTGTACGCGCGTGTGTGTTTGCGTGCGTGCGTGCGCGCATGTGTGTGCGTGCGTGCGTGTGTGTGTAATTTCGAAAGCACACGAACCGACATCGATCACCGCGATCATCGAAAGACCAAACATCTAATCGATTATCTAATCGATTATCTGATTGATTGTCTAATCGATTATTTGATCGATTGGCCAACCGATTATCTAATCAATTATCTGATCGATTGCATAGTCGATTATCTGATCGATTATTGAACCAAACATCTAATCAATTATCTAATCGATATCTAATCGATATACAGGATCGGCAGACGTTTGACGATGCTCTTGGTGCTCTCTCTCATGACGGTGCTGGGAGCAGTGAATGCCTGCGCGTCACACTACCTCGTCTTCATTGCTCTCAGATTCCTCGTCGGTTCAACGTCTGCCGGAGCCATGTCTACTGGGTTCGTCTACGGTGAGAGGGAGAGGGGATGGAGAGGGAGTGGGGGAGAGGGGGAGGGGGAGAAAAGAGAGTGGGAGATGGGGAGAGGGAGAGAGGGAGAGAATTAGAGAGGGAGAGAGGGGGAGGAGGAGAGGGAAAGGGAGAGAGGGAGAGCGGGAGGAGAGGGAGAGAGAGAGAGGGAGGGGAGAGAGGGAGAGTGGAGAAGGGGAGAGGGAGGAAAGGTAGAGAGAAAGAGAGATTCCTCGTCTAAACTAACGAACTAAACTAAACTAACCTAAACTATTATCATCATACTCGTCCTCAGCGATCGAAAATAACATAGCTACTCATTACTAGGTTTAACATACGTATTTTTCGTCCTCAGCGATCGAGATAGTAACGCCACCGTACCGTAACGCCATCTCCAACATGTACCAGTGCGGCTTTGCTGTTGGTTTCATGGCGCTGCCGTGGTTGGCGCTGGGTCTGCAGGACTGGCATCACCTGCAGCTGACCATGTCGCTCTGGGTCGTCTTGCTCGTTGTCGCCATCTACTTGTG